GSRTGRATAATTCCCCTCCCTKGWAGCTGTCTCTCTGCCAGCCTGAGTGCAGAGCCCCCAGCCCACAGCTCTGGGAAGCAGCAACCTCCCGTGGCCGGGGTCCTCAGCGAATCCTCCGAGGCTTGTTCCCTCCTAAAGCAGCTCAGATATTGATATTCAGATATTTAACAGCATGGGATTGAATCTCTGCAGCTTTTCAGCATCCCAAGGCGGGAGCACGACAGACTTTTTTTGTCTCAATCCGTGTGAGAGCCTCTCCCCGAAAACTTCGTCCCCCTTGGAAGAAGAAACAAATATCTGTTCTCTTCATCCTTCTGCAGACCAGGAAATAGGAGCATGTGGCAGCGCTTGCGCCTGTCCCCCGCAGCAGCGCTTGTGCCCGGGAGGTGGCGACAGTCCCCTTCGGACACCGCGCACCGCACGGCCCGTGCGCCTCTCCCGGAGCGCCGCGGACCCGACACGCACAATAAAGTGTCCCGCTGCTGGGCAGCATGCTTTAGACATGTTTAGACACGTTTAGAACGTCGGGATGGAATCGATTTCCTAAGCACTAAAGCCAGATCACCCCAAAAAAATCCCATTTAGATGCTCGCCTACCATCCGTTTCAACTGTGAAATTCATCCAAGGYGCTCCAGATTTTAAAAGGGGAGTCCCAGTGAAGGCCATCCTTAGGAATCTGATCTTGAAAGCAGGACTTGAATACTTGGATCGTTTAAACACTCAGGTGTATTAGAGCTGATACAGAAAATTTTCAAAAGAGTGTTTGACTTTTTAAAAAATGTAGCTTATGAATACAAGAAACWGAATAGGCAGAGTCACATGAACACMTACCATTATGGTACATGYGAAAAGAATAAAAGTGTTAACACCACTATTTAATGAATAGTGKGTTAGAAGTCCTGCTATCAGACTATTCACAATATTACTACTATTATTATTAAATATTATTATTGTTATTGTTATTATCATTATTATTCACCTCATGCATGGCACTCTGCAGGCACAGATCAGTTTACCCACTGGCTATGCTTCCCACGCATGTATTGTATGGTTTTCCACTTCTTATTTTCTATTTGGATACTTTCTATACAGCTCAACTTTCTTTCTGGATATTGGCCCAAARCAATTCTTGGAAGAATTTATTTGATTCTCTAGTTCTACTGATTGATAGACAAGGCATACTTCATCAAATCATCAAATATTGCTGCTTCTCTCCACGTGCTTGCTTTACCCCAGTTTCTCATGTCCATCTTGCACAGAAATATATGTGCACATTCTGCTTTGGCTTCTCTTTGATTGCCCATCTCCTAGCCTTAAACTATGTTCTCACTCRTGGTTTTAACCACGTTGGCAACAGCAGAACTGAAGGTCCCGGAGGAGTTAATCTAGCAAATATGCAAACCCAAACCAATAATTTGCAGCTGCTGAAAGGATTAGCATGGTCCCCTCTCCAGGCTTGCATTCCTGCAGCCTCGTCCTTTCTAGGTTTTGTGCTCATCTGACCCTGTGGGGAAGCTGATTCAGCTCACTGGGTGGACAGAAAGTACCAAAGAGTAAAGYGAATATTTTTTGGCCACTTTAGCAATCTGAAAGTGTCTCAGGGAGCTGAGAAGTCAGGCCCAGGCAGAAGGAGAGGGGCAGGATGAGGTGCCTGAACCTCGGAGACAGCAGGAGAGAGAAGCACTGTACTTTTTGGCTGGAGTGAGCTGTGTGAGAGACTGGCTCAGGCAGCTCCTCTAGCCTTGTCCTCGTACAGCTTGTAGTTGTAAATAATAGAATAAATACTCAGTGTTTYTGGCTGCTGCTCTTTTATGTTTCCTCAGGCAGCAAAGAATGGGAAATGTTTGGTTTTGTTCCACTCYAAACAGATCAGAATAATCACACACCATGACAGTGAAACCCCAGAGAATATGTTGTCCCATCAAGCTGATAAAACCCAGCTAAGCACGGGACATCCTGGCAAGCACTCACAGCTTGCTCATAATTTCTCGTGTGTTTTTCATAACAAACAAGACCCTGAGCCAGCTCTGGAGGCCCAACCTGCCCTGGTCCTGCAGGTGGCTGACTGCAGGTGTCTGAAGGCCAGGGTTTCCAACACTTTCTGTTCCCTCGGCAACTGTAAAGTTGGAATTMAAATGGAGGAAACCAGCACTTTGGTTATCAGATTTCTAAATCTGATAGTTCATGCACTCCCAGCAATGAAATATTTTATTGCACTGGAAAACTGGTGTTTCCTAAATGATTAGTCATTACAGATGTTATTAGTCCTCTGGGTTAGCAGTGGAATTTTAAAATCCAATTCTAGGGCAGCAAGTTCTAGTTCCTAAATTAAAGAATTGTACAGTTTTTGGTCACTATCTTAAACACCTTGGAGTAAAGCTGCTTCACATTCTAGAGTTGTTCAACCTTGTGTTACACCCTCAAATAGAGAGCCACCCCATAGGATTTTYAATAGAAATAGAGCAAGTATGCTTTGAGTGTAACATTGTAGCTCTGCATTTTGATGTTAAGCACKTTGGTAAGTCAAGCACTTTGGATGTGCATCTCATCCATCTCAAGCTGACCTGCCTCTGTTAGGTCTCCACCTAGTCCTTGAAACAGAAAGCAAAACAAAGTGGCAATTAACTTACAACATGAGGATATAGGGACGCTGATAGCCAGAATGATCCAGGCAATGTCCATCTTGCTGAGACAGATGGTTGCTCTGTGCTGAGGTTTGTCCCCCTCGGTGACATGGGAGATGTTTCCTTGCACCCCTGGTTTCCAGGTGCCAGCAGGAACCAGTCTGTTCAGGAAGTTCCCGGTGGCGGTGGAGCCRGCTGTGGAAGTGGAGCTGGACAAGCTGGTGGCAGGTGCTGAGGACAGAGCGGTGTCCGGTGACGTGGCATTAGTCACCGCGCCGTGCTGCGTTGGAGTGGCCCCCTTGGGGTCTCCTGCTGCCGGGGATGAGATTCTGACATCAAAACTGGTCTGAACCGAGTGACCAGCTGCTGCTGTYGCAGCTCCAGAGCCGGCAAACAGAGGGACATTTGTACTGAGATTCAAGGTTACCCAAGAGTTGTTTTTGCTCAGCATATCCCACACACCGTAGTGGGTGGGTTTAAAAGGCACCGACACTGCTTCAGGATCAGTTGATGGTCCAGCAGTTGTGGTGGCAAAATCTGCCTCCTGCACTGCTGCCTCGGTCCCATCCCCTCGCTCTGCTTCCCTAAGGCTTCCCGAGGYGTTGCGGTGGGGAGAAGGGTCTGAGAGTGTAGTTCTTGCCAGCCCCGTTCCATTTGGGTCGCTGGATGCTGTGGTCTGGGGCTGAAATGGGTGGTCTGTGAAAGGGCTCCTCAGGGTAGGGAAGGGAGARTGCAGGGTTGTCTTTAGGTAAGGCTCTGGCGACTCTGAGAAGTTGCCTTTGAAAACCTGGAATATTTTCCCCTTGGGGCGAGACTGTCCCGAGTACAAAGCRCTCTGGTTGTATAAATGATAAGTTTCCTTTTCGCCGATGCGAGGGCCGCCCTCTTGCCCTTGCCCGGTGGAAGGGGCTTTCTCCACCAGGCTGACGGGGTGGGACACGGCTCGAGCCGACGTGGGAAGGGGCTCTGCCGTGTGSTGCTCTTTGTGGTGAGGTGTTGTTGCCATGGCTGTAGTGATAGCTGTAGTGTTCATCGGGAAGTCCTGAGAGGAGGAGACAGTGGGAGACAGTACCTGAACAGAAAACACCAGCTCTTCTGTCAGTGCCAAGATCAGTAGAACACCTGAGGAAAAAACACAAAAAGAGGGTGAGACACTGGGGACGGACTGGTGGATGGGGACGGCATGGCTTGTGTGTGTGGTGGGAAGGAATATCTTCCATGTTCTGCACGAGGACAGAGTTAGCATCCAGCTTTGTTGGTTTTTCTGTCAAAGTAGGAAGAGAAAGATGAATCTGCAGGAGCTATGGTGGCCCCATGGCCATGAGAGTGACAAGATAGAAACAGCAAGGYTACAGGGAGTCTCCGAGGGAGGGAGAGAGGAGCTTGCAGTATCGACTCATGTGAAGCTTTAAAGTGCCATGGACAGGTGACTTCCCTGGAGATGCTTAAAAGCATCCTATGTATCTGGGGCAGAAACAACAGATTTCCTCATTTTCATTGTGGCCAGGAGGTGTCCAGATGAATGTCCATATCATTAGTGGAAACCTTAGTCTGCTCACTCCTTTGGCTGCAAAATCCTACATTTGGCTGCCTCCAGTCTTGGCTGCCATTAAGCAATCTGTTTTCTGAAGGAGCAGCTGCTTAGGTCTTGCTGAAAATTAGGTCAAGAAGGGATGTCTGATGAGAGGGCTACCTGGTTTATACATACTGTGCTTTACTTASCAACTTTGGAAAATCTAGTCACTCCAAATATTAAAAATTAACAAGAAAACAGAGCTATCCCAGACATTTTAAAAAACATTGCGGTTATTGTGGTCTAACACAACTGCCCTTCGCACCCACAAAGCAAAGTTTGGCCATAACCTGTGCTGAGCTCACATGTGCTGTGGGGTTGGACTGTGTGAAACTTGCCTGCCACCTCCCTCTGCAGTGCACACCATTTCACGAGGTGCCAGATTCACACCGCTGGGAACATCAATTCTTTCATTTATTCCTGGTTCAGATAATGGAGGTGGGCAGCTGCAGTAGCATAAGCCTCCCCGGGACRCAGGGCTAATATGCCGTGAGTTACTGTGACCTGCAGGGACCACATCAATCACACGTCACCATTTCCATATGCTGAAGCTGTCGAGTGTAATGTGGATCTCTGCCCACTAGGAAGCACATGGAATAAATCCATTTTGCACAGTCCACTGAGCATCATCAGATGGCACCATTAGCACTGTACTGGTGTGAATTTCAACCAGCAGCRTCGAGGTGAAAAATGTTGTCACAGTCTCAACAAATCAGGGAGATGAGTCTGTCAGAGCTTCAAAGACTCCAAACTGGGTGATGATCACCTTCCACCCAGGACTGTGGAGTGCCTTCCTGCCCCCTTCTCTACCCTTCTTAGTTTACCAGTTTTCTCCATGAGTGGTGTTATGCCATTGAGTTCTACCCTATTTGTGAATGTTTGTTATGGGCCAAAGGAAGACAGGGACTTGGGAAAATGAAAGAAGGTCTCGGGATTAGGTGACTGCTGGGCCCTAGGATGCTGTTGCACATTGCASAAATGTGATGAAATGTGTTTATTCTGAATCCTGAGCATTGTTCACACCCRTTCATGATCATTGCAGTACATGTGGCAAAAACTCACCAAAGGAGCAGTATCTGTTTTTCTTACCCAGCCAAATGTTCTACTTTGATCACCAACCCTAATTTCTGAACCAGAGCAATGCAGAGCTCTGCAACCAACAAAATTCAGCTCATCTTGCCCCTAGCAGTCTCCTGTTACTTGGAAGAGTATCCAGAAGATGAAAACACTGACTAAATAACATGGTGAGAGCCAATTACAAGTAATGCACTTTCCACTGCCTGATGCTAAAATTAGCTCTCTTTCTTTTTTTTTAAATTTCTGGAATAATTACCTCTGCCAAATGAACCATCGTCTGGGATACTGCTTCCCGGTTTCCAGCCAGCCACAGACAATATGCTCTTAGCAGAACACCTATTCAAATTAAAACCCACRTATTCTGAGATGCAACCAGAAGAGCAGATCGGGCTGTAGCCATGGAACATCACTCTTGGAAATGAAAGGCAGGAGTTATTCTCACGTTTTTGGCAGAGYTTATTCTGAGGTCAAGGTCAAAGCAGATATTCTAGTGTCCATATGGCTAATATTTCATGCCAAGACAAGTAGCTTCCACAGAACAAATTCAAAGAGGAAAGGATGACAATTTATTTTGGATTTGGTGTGCAGAGATAACGTTCCAGGAAACTTTGGGCCTGCTGTTCTGAGCACACAAGATAAAGTGCGTTGGCAGAGATTATGAGATACTAGATCATAACGATTGTAACGCCTGCTAATTTTTTTGSATGTTCTTTGTGCAACTATTTTCTCTCACACCTCACACACAAAAAAATCGTCACTACTGGATTAATGTTTTTCTCCAKGATATCCCTGAAGGAATAAGGAAGTTGTCAACTTTTCTACATATTGTGCCCTGGGGTTAGAAACCCTGATCTTTTTCTGGAAAGCCACMTAATATCCATCTCCAGTTCTTGAAATACTGATAAATCTGAGGCTTGCTGCTGTAAAGATTTATAGTCTCTCTGGGGCACTCTGTTGTGGTAGCAGGTCACCGCACATCAGGCATGGGAAACCAGATGCATTTAGCTCGTACCTTTAGGTGGCTTGTAAAGTATGAATAAATATTTATAGGAAATACTACATCAGAAGTAATTTATCTGACAACAAACAATAACTCCCATGACATGTGGCTGTCTCAGACTGTGGCAGGCAGGTTTGGCCCATCTGCCATGCTTKCTTTAACAGCCTCTGCAAAGCCACTGTGGCAGTATAAGCTATGGCTTCTTAAGACTTTTTTTTTTCTGCTGGTTGGATGGACCACAGTAATTCCTTCAGTAACCACCAGAGCTAATCTGTGCCCCTAACTACTGAAAAAATATTCAGCTTAGCAGATCATTGTAAAAATAGCCAAGGCAGTATATTTAGAGAGAAACAGCTGATGATAAGGACTTCACAGTGGGTTTTTCTGGCACTTTTAAGTGGAATTAATTTGCTGGAAAGCAAAAGTGARGCTGGAATTGGTATTTTTAGATGCTCTGCATCATCACCCAAGCATGCTCTGTCTGGATTTGCAGTGACTTGATTGCCCAGAGCTCCCACTTGCTTTTTTATCACAGAGGATATGTAAAGTCTTACCAAGACGGACTCTTATTGAAGTCTGTGATAGTGGACTGCCTTTATTGGCAACTTTGGCTTAAGCCTGGGAAAATGATATTTTGAATTTCCCTACTAAGGCACAGGAGGCATTTGTCACAGAAATTGACTGAAAAACACCTTTGAAGTTCTTCCCTTCTCTTTCCTCGGTCTGGGCTTCATAAATGCACCCGCACTAAGTGAAGGGCCAGGGCGGAGATGATGCCAGTGTCTCTTGGTGCCTCAGTTTACCTTCAATCCCACTACCACTGAAAGGAAGCCTTCTGATTGCTATCAGGCTCCCCTGGCCAAATTTTGATATCTCAGGTGAGATATTGCTCTTGTTTAGTTCAAAGCGCAGTCCCGCAGTCTTTKCCAAAATCCTTCATTTTTGGCTGCCTAAGACTCTTAGAGCTGATTTTGCTTAGAGCATGAGACCTCTGGAGTGAGGACTGGCAGTCCTTAGGATCTGCTGGCACAACAGTAATGCAGACTGATGCAAGCATATTATAGCAAATAATAATATTTTCAAAGGTCAGCYCACACCGTTTTTTCATAAGGGGTCATTTCTAAGGTACAGGAGCTCAGCATCAGAACAGGTCAAACTGGTTTGTCTTTTAAATTCTGCGTATCAAATTCACACTTTTGGAACCTAATTTTATGGCTACATTAAAACCATTCAACCCTGATAAGGAGGCTGATTGGCCTGACATCTCTGGGGTGTGAACTGTGGTCTTGCATAGTGCACAGTGCACCAGGAAGGGCATATTAAGAACAGTACGAATTAACACAAGGATAAGACACAGCAGAGTGACAGCAGAATGTACACAGAGGGTGCTGATGTGCATTTAGCCATAAAAACTCTTTCCTGACAACATGGTGCAATGGTTCAAATCTGAACAGGATCTCCCTGCAGTGCTTCTCCCCATGGTACGCTCACATGAGCAGCCCAGAAATGGTGAGTGAAGGAAATGAAGTAGTTCCTTTACAGCAATGTTCTAAAAGACCATGGTTTGTGTCTTCAACAATTCTCAGGAAAGCCTGGGTTTAGGAATACTTCCCCTTCCTTACTATGAAATCCTCAGGCTTCTACCACTTGGAAACTTCCTTGTGATCCTTTTATTTGCCCACAAGTGGCAGAACTGCGTCCCTCCTTAACAGAAAAAAAAATAAGCAATTCAGACCTCAGCAGCTTATGTTCTTTGTTTTATCTCAGGACCTTGGGAGCCTCCAGCAGGAGCCAGTGTCCTGACACAAGACAGCATTAAAAGTTGGGAATTAACACCGCCTGGTGCTGCATGGGACACTTCATGGGCACTTCGGGAACAGCCTTTTTGCATGACATGGCAGAGCAGGCATGTGGCTGTYGAGTCAGCTCATGCGTTCAGCCTCCCTGGGGCACCCCCGTTGAACAACACAAACTTACATAACTCCTGTTCCAAAGCCCGTGGAAAGGTTCCCAATGACTTTAGTGAGCTTTGGAGCAAGTCCTAATTGCCAGAGATGCAGTGGAAACTTTTGAGCTGCACATTTACATTTTCTACAGCAAATGAACATGCACAACGAGCTCAGTCTGGTGTTTGACCCCTTCTGGCCTCTGCTACCTYGGACCTTGCAGCAAGACAAACAGAGCCAGCCTGAGCAGTACTTGGCAAACATTTTTGCTCTAGGAAGTCAGGAAGAGCTTTTTGTGCAGAGACCTACTGCTGGACTCATTATTTCAGACTGCCGTGGGCAAGGAAAGCAACGGGAGCTGTCCTACAAAGGACCCATTATCTACAGACCCAGGGCTTGGGTGCACATGGCCACAGTGAGGGATGCTGAAGCCTCTCCGTGCTCCTGTCTCGACTCACTAATCCCGAGAGAAGGTTGTGCTAAACCTGTTCAAATCAACAGCGATTAGTGCTGTAACAAAAGCTTT